AGTGACCTTTGTCTCGCATTCGTCTGAAGTGCTGCTTTTCCGAAAGGAAAAATTTGTAGAAATGTTGCTTTTGAGCAAAGGCTTCGAACTGTGCGCTGTTTCGATGAACTAAATTATAAGAGCGACATCTAGCCACCTTATCAGAGCTAGAAAATTAATCAGGACGTTTTCTGAATTCGCCAGTTATGAGAAGCAGAGGAGCTTGGAAAGTAGATCAAGCGGTAGCAAATGCGTACAGCAACTATTTGTTGACGACGCTTTCAACGGTTTTCTCCTTCGAAGCTGCTTAGAAACAAACTAATTACCGAGTATGACTAACCTGAGTATAACAGTACTAAATCCTAGAAGAATTGGTTATCTAGCTGGCTGAGACGAAGACTCGATCTCCTGTATGACAAAAGCTCTATTTCCAAATGCTCTGTGCCTGCCAGAGGTAGAAAGTTTGTACTTTAATCTTCTGTATTGAGTAAACAAAAATTTACTTCCTGTATAAATTTTTCTCTAAAAGAAAACGAATTAAGCAATTACGCCGAAAACCGTACAAACAACTTTCAGAGAATTATGTTGTTTATGTCACAAAATTTTTGCCTTTTAAATGAGAAAAGAGAAAAAAACCATGTGTGCGCAAATTGCATCTCTTTTCATACCCGTTCTGTGAGGGAGGGAAACGAAAATATGCTTTTTAATCTAACAAAATATAAATTGATAAACCAAAGGGCCACTGTCAAGGTGAAGGCTTCCATCGTTTCGTCCGATTTCTATGATGCCAATTTCAAGGTCGCAATATTTACTTGCTTCTTACATACTTCAAACCTCTTCCATAGCTGGTCATTCTCCTTGTTCTTATTTTACTTTTTTCCTCTTTTTTTTCGTTTATTCCTAAATACTTGAATATTCTATTCCTTGTCATCCTCCAAGACTGCAAGAAGTATTAAATTTAGCGGAGACTTACTGATAAATGAACAGATGCGGAAGTGAAACCAAAAAAAAACGGAAAATTTTACTGTTGCGTTAGAGGAGAAAATAATTACTTACTTTGTCTTCTGAAGCATTTACTCATGAACCAAGTCAAAGTTAAAAGTCAAAACTTTGAATCTAACATCTGGTAGACAATCATAGAAATCTAGCATCAAAAATTGAAATATTAAAGACTGAAATATTAATTTATTAACATTCTAGTGAGATTTTTGTTAAGCTGATTCTTGCATGGTTGTAGCATACTAGTAATAGGGCAAGACTAATACTAGTAATAGGGCAAGGCTAAAGTATCGTCTACTTTTTCTAAATTATCGTTTAATTCTTCTAAATTCAATAGCACCTTTTTTTTAAACAGACACAGTTCTTCTAAATTCAGTGGTACCTATTTTACTTTTGCCTTGATCAGGTGTTGCCACCGTGCATTGCTTCTCGCCACTGATGCAGCTGGCAACTTCCCCATTCCTTTCTGCAGCTATGTGCATCAGATATTTTTGCAGCGATATTCTGCTGCCCCGAGCTTCAAGTGTTACAAAGACCTTTTTTTGAAGAGGGAAATGGGCGACCGTATGTGTATTGTCGGTGGTGGAGGCTATTTTGGTCAGCATATAGCCAAAGAGTTGCAGCGATACGGCCACCACACTGTGATTCTAGATATCAATTTTTGCGATGTACCGGTAGTGAAACTGAACGAATCTCAGACAACACGAATAAAGGTCAGCGTCCGAAATCGAGCCGGACGGATTTTCGCTTTCATGATTTTTTGCACTTTGGTGTTGAAAATATTGAGCAATTAAAGTCCATTTAGCAATTTTAGGGTTCCATGTTTGATGTGAAGGTGTTGGACGAAGCGCTGCATGACTGTATAGCATGCTTTCATCTTGCAGCTTACGGAATGACCGGAGGTGCTTCAGTAAGTTGTATTTTTTTTGGTAAAAAGTGTAAACGGAGTAAAGTTTTTAAGGAATTCTATAAAAGCTCTTTATCAAAAAAAGAAAAATGCCAGTGCGAAAAGCAAAATTTCCCAAATGATTCGGGCAAAATAATAAGAATATCGAGATGCCAAAATAGTCAACATTATTTGGATGAAAATTAGGGAGAAATTTAAAAAATGTGTTTTGATTCGAAGCTTTGCACTACATCTCTTCCTCTTTGACCTCGTACCCAATAATCGTTTGTGTGAGGTACAAGAGGCAGAAGATCAAATTAAATCACCAATTTGTTAGTCTGCGTGATCAGAAAATTTAGTCAAAGTGGCGCACTGTTTAAACACAGAATGAAACAAAAAGAGGGAAGATTCTATAAAATTCGCACTTTTCTAATTTGGCATGAACTTTATCAAAGGCTGACTTTTTTCGACTGAAAATTTCATTTACAGTTAAAAGTTTTACTGTCGCTCTAATAATTATTACTTTGATCATATGTTATTTCACCGCCGTGTTACTTTTCACTCCTGGTGCAGCTGGCAAATTCTTCATTCTGCTTCACTTCAGGCGTTCCTCATCCTGAATTTTCCACGGTTACTTTCATAGCATCACCAGCCTGTGTTTCTTTCACATTTCAAGGATACCATTCAATAGTACGCTTTGCCCAGCTCTTGAGCCATTACCTATACGTCTGGACTATCAGTGAAGATATATTATGTTACAAATGTTACTTGGATGCACTAGTAGCGCAGAAAATAAAACACAGAGCTGAAACTAAAAACCCCAGGCTGCAGTGCAACTGGGTTCCCGGTGCGATCATGCCTTTATACGCTGAACATGCAGATCTTTTACAGCAGAAGTAGCTCTTGCATTCTAATTTAACACCTGGTCTCATACTGACTGTGTTTCGGCTTTTGTTTTGCACAGAGTGGAAAAGGGCTTCGGCTGGGACGAAAGTGTTGCATTATGGAGTCGTGTGAATCTCCGACGTCCACGATTATCAGTTTTTCATATGAAGCCTGATCGTTTTCTCGGTGAACCGCCGCTCGTCGGAAAAATGCAAATTTCAAGGAAACTGGGAAATAACTGCGAAATCCGCAAGAGTTTGCGACAAAATTAAGTTTTGCCACTCCTGTGTGCAAGAAATTTCACCTCCAAGCTAAATTAAAGCCATACATGAAAATTGAATGCTCCTTGTAAAGTTTCAGCCTTCCAGCTCGTCTGTTAGCGAAATAGGCACGTGGCTGCAAAAATGTTTGAAGTGCCCTAAGTCGTGGCACAAGTGCAAATCGAAAGTCAGTTTAGATGTGAACGATAAATATTCTGACAAAATTTTAGCTGCTGTTTTTCGGTTGGTTTTCCCCCCCGGGCTGGCACAATGCCAACTATGAAATTCGGCTTGACCGCATGTGCGACAAAAGCGTGCGTGATATCTGAATTCGAAATCCTTAGCTCATATACGCATGGAGAATGCCCAGCAAAGTTTCAGCTTTCTGTCTTTTGCGTTTCCCGAAACAGCTTTCCTTCAGGGAAATTTGCGTATTTTTTCGGGGGACCTTATGCGAGTTCTAGGAGCGCGCAAGTAATCATCTTTTTTGCTCACTGCAGCAGAAGCACAACAAATACTCTCTATAAGCATTTTTTGACATTTAACTCTACAAATTTTGATAAACGTTGTATTATATTTCAGATGAACAAAGAAATGATTTATCAAATTAACGTGACCGGCACGGAACTGGTACTCGAACGGTGCCGGATTAATTGTGTACAAAATTTTATTTTTGCAAGTTCCATATGTGTTGTGTTCACTGATCAGGAATTGCACGATGCCAATGAATCGGTCCCGTATCCACACGAGTCAGAGGTGATTTTCATGAAGTTACTTTTTAACTCAGTCAGTTTTATGGCTGATTATTGCTTAAGGCGAGGCAGAAGTTCTTTTTTCTACAATTAAAATTCAGCACCATCTTCTATTCTTGGGCTTCCCGTCTAATCGACCTGCTTAACCATTTTGGCCATTTAATAACTATTACTATTACTTGTTTGTCTATTATTATTTATTTGTTATTTATTTATTATTATTGATCCCTTCTGCATTTAGTACTATTCGCACTATTCTGCATCAAAAGCACTGGCCGAAAAGATTGTAATAGCTAATGACTGCGACACCATGAGAACATGCGCTTTGAGGTTTCGAGGTATTTATGGTCCAGCTGAGCCACGAACAGTGCAACGGGCCATTGTAAGTTGTATTGGCATTTATACTGTATGCTTGCATTTTTCGATTTTTTAAAAATCTTGGAAAACTACCAAAATTTTTTGAAAATTTGAAAGAAAACTACCCAGCATAATTCCAGGATATATGTAAACGCGGGTTAATTCTTGCAACATTTGAGAAAAATGGCGAATGCTTAACACAATACAGTGGAATTAAGAATAGTGCGATGGTGAGTTCCTCACTTTTCTGGTATTTAAAGCTTGACTCG